CAAGAGCTCAGCACTCACTAAGGGGAACTCTGCTTGGCTGCACAAGGCAGGAAGATAAATCACTGCCACAGCACAGGCAAACTCAGCAAGTCTCGTGGAGGGAGCAGGAGATTCTGACCTGCCTGTCTATCTGTCCTTCCATGCTCTCCACCCCACCCGCTGAGCCAGAACTCCAGCCCCTCCTGCTCTAGGGTCTCCAGCCATCTCTTACCCATTTTTTCTGTGGTTTTGGCCCATGATTGAGTATTTGTCTTGGCTTGATTTCCTAGATTTTTGTTCCTACACAGGACTTTCCTCTTCTTTCAAATACAGAAGAGACAAAGTTGATGAGACCACAGAATCGGGATATATTTAATCGCATAATCTTTCACAGGCATTGGAAAACCACATATCCATTTCCACTGAGCCAGCGTGATGCAGCAGCAATCCCATTTGCAACAGTGAAATGACATTGCCATGCTTATGCTGATTTGGTCTGAGGGCAGTATGTGACCTATTGTGTCCATAAAACCAAGCTAAATCCTGCTCCTGATCAAAGCTTGAGTAACAGTTTCATTCTGTACAGATAATTTGACTCCTTTCCTGAACTTGAGCCACAGATGCCATGCAGAGTCTGACAAATCTCCTCCAAGCGTGCTTAGTTCCGACTTAAAAACACCAAATCATCTTGCCTTGGGTTTCATTGATCTAAACAGTGTCTGGTGCCCTTCCTCAGACTGCTAATAAATAGCACACGATGCTGAACAGGGAGATATCCTTCTTGTTCCTTTTCCTTCACTTTTCGATCTCCAATAAGGATCTCCATTTACAAACTAGCCCAAATACCAGGTAATTTTCCATTCCTACCAAACTAAGTCAACGTATGATGTGGCAAGTAGAAGACTCATTTTGACAAGATACCAGTGTTCCCAGTTGCTTCTGCTGGAGACCATCTGGTAAACGGAAAAAATCTATCTTATGTTTTAATTTCCCTCTCCCCACCCCTCCAAAAAATGATAGAAACTCTGTGTGTTTGCCATTTCCAAGGCAGGCCGCCTTGCAGTCAGTGCCTTGGGAGAGCTGAAACACCTCTTTCATGACCTTGGTCCCGTCACTTAGTCATGCCCCAATTGCCTATGTGTAAAATGTGCAAAGCAGCTCTGTGCATCTACCAAGTACCAGGACCCTTCCTTGGATATTCAAGTGGGAAAAGACAAAAACCGCTCAGCACAGTCACGCCACTATGAAACAATGAAAATAAGAGCAAAATGTTACAGCAGCCTCACAAGTCAGCAGTGGACACACTTAGAACAAAACCCAGCACACTCTACTTCTCATTTTCACCTGATGCAGCCCCTCTGGTTGGTTGTCACACCGCTTCTGATCTTATAACAGGGAGGAGTTTGAACCAGAGTATTTTTTAAGTGCTGTAAAAAGGGGAAAATACACGTACACACCCAAACCCACAGGCCAGGCAGCTTTCTCTGTCCATGGTCCCACCTGCCTGTTGATGTAGAGCATTTTGCAGCCACGTCTCTTTTTAAAAACCACCCGTCTCCTTTTAGAACAGACCACAATTCCCTTCTCTCTGGTTCTCCAGAGTTTTCATGATTGAGAAAAATGTCTCAGCTGCAGAGAGGGTGTGATAATTACAGTGTGAAACCCCCTGCTGGCATGCTGGTGGGCTGGAGTAACAGTAACACAATGTTGGAAACTGCCTTGAATATTTTGCATAGCATTTTCTCTCCTTTGATATTGTAGTTTTGCTTGCTTTAGTTTGCTCTTTGCCCTTGTTATGCTCTAAATAAGAGCTTCTAAAATATACGTACTCGTGAAAACATACACTCTGACAACTTTCAGTGCTATAGAGAAGCAATGAGACTTTCAGAGCTACCCAGTGTTGGGCAACTGGTTCTCCTAAATAAAGTCAGTCATGCATTTACACATGTATAAACTTAATAAATCATGCACCTAGTAATAATACTGAGGTTCTGTGGTGAGGCCTTTGTTAAACACATTGCTAAAGGATCTTTGTGCTGGGTACAGGAATTAGGCTGGAGGATTCTAGCAAGCAGCTAGCCTTTTAGTCAAAAATATTGATTGCTTTGTTTTAAATATATTTATGTCACTTTGCAGATTCTCAGTCAAGAGCATGAAAGAGATACAGTTACAGCTGAAGTGGCTGGTTTTTACAATGATCCCATTTCCAGCATTTACACTGAGACTCCTTTCCACCTCTTCATGTGGCTACTTCATGGCAGGAACAGAATAAAAACTCTGAAAAGCATAAATTACACCAGCTGGACAGATTTGGCTAATTCAGCTAGCTTGTGGTCTGAAGACATGTAGAATCCACCAACTGCTTTGAATTATCCACATGGAATCATGGAATAATTTGGGTTGGAAGTGACCTTAAAGATCCTCTAATTTCAATGTCCTGCCATGGGTAGAGACACCTTCCACTAGACCAAGTTGCTCAAAGCCCCATCCAACCTGGCCTTGAATGCTGACAAGGATGGGGCAGCCACAGCTTCTCTGGGCAACCTGTGCCAGGGCCTCATTTACTAGACACACTGGAAAAAAAATAAAATAAAATTCAATTTGTAGCTCTCTGGGCCAGATTATTTTAGTTACAGCCCTAAAAAGTTAAACCGATGGACTAGAACACAATAGGGATTATTCTAGATTCACACCATGCCCCCATCATCACCTACTTCCACACTTGCCTTCTAAATGTCACAAGCTGACTTCTGCAGGAGGCAGGTCTCTGGCAAGCATGGTCTGATGAACTGCAGCAAATGAGATTTGCCCAATTTCCTTTTTTCCACATTTGTACATCATGAGAGGCCAGGGTGAAAGTTTATAACAGCAATTAGAAGCCACATGGCTGCAGCAGTTTTATAGCACTGAACTTCTTGATCAGCCAAGCCTTCTCATTCAGAGTTTTTCCAAGGACATACCAATAAAAATTATCAGAATAACTGAGGAGGGGGAAAAAAAACACCTCTGCTGAGCCATTGTAGTTCCCAGAACCAGGTTGTTACAATTGCAGAGTTAACTTCTGCTTTAAAAATGAGCACTGAATCCCAGGTTTAAACTGAGAAACAAACAACAGGGATTTTCTCTAGCATTGAGGCACTTCAGTATTAGTCACCTTGCAGATCAACGCTGATAAGAAGCATGTGAATCTCTTTAACCCACTAGTATGAACCAGGTCCCAGGAACATTAACACAATGGGAGAATGAGAAAACAACCAACAGTTCCACTAAACCAAGGGCAAGGAAGTGAGATAAAGTATTAACAACAGGATAATAAAAAAGTTGAAAAGAAACCAGTACAGAATTGCACATAGGTTGTGCCTTGCCACTGTCTCAGAGCCTTAAAAGGGGTTGAATTTACTGATAGGAACAGTCAACCCAAGAGCACCAGCATAAGGGCCCGATCCCACATACTGAACTTCAACAGACTACGTGACTTAACCCTCTGAAGGATCAGGCCCCAGAGGACCTCTTCATGCCAACACCATTTAAAGAAATGAGATTTTTGCCATGGGCTTCACTGAAAGCAAGAATTGGAGCAGCTCCAGCAGCTGATTGGATTGCTGCCCCCTTCTCATTTCCCCAGCTCCAGCCCTGGACAAGCTATTTTGGATCTTCCCTAAAGCAAAGTCTGTAGATTCCTGGAACTAAGTGCCTGATCATTTTTTTTCTAATACTTTAATCCGTTTTCCCAGCGTGTTCTTCCTCAAAGAAAGTCTGTGGCGATGCAGACGGATGGCTCATGGTGACAGACTGAAAAACTAAATACGCCCATTTGTCTCATTTCTTAAAGAACAAGGAGAATAAAGGACGGACAAGTGATGCAGTGACAAACCCATGTTACCTTCCACTCTTAAGAGACTCTGGTTGGTTAGTCCAACTGTGCTCACTGGAGAACAAACAGGGCAGCTTTGAGCAACGCACTGTCACCAGTCAAGCAGAGCAAACAGAAGAGACTTGCAACCCTACCCAATCCAACAGGATTCTGGTATGGCACCCTCGCCTTCCAAAGAAGAAAACAAGTGTGGGACAAGACTAGAGGTGAGAGAGGAAAGCTCAGCTACAGCCAACACCTAATGTGTTGTGTCCCTCCCCCCAAGCCCAGTACTGTGTGTGGTATCAGTAGAAATCACACACTGCAAGGAAACAAGCTGCAAGAGGAAAGCCCCAGTGAAATAATGCAGAACCCCGTGTCTGCGCTGTTTGCGGAGAGCATTAGCTTTTGCGTGCACACGTGCGTGCGTGTGCGCACACAGACCCACTGCCAGGAGAAACAATCCCGTTTGCTAATTCCGCGCTGTGCTAGGAGCCATCTGCGGCGGGGGAGGAAGCGCCACTGCCCCAGCCAGGGACCTGCAAGCACTGAAATTACAAGCAGAAGGGACACAGCAGCCAGAAATCACATCCTTTGCTCCCAGCGCCTGCTCTTTCCTCAAGCACTGCATTCACATGAGGTTTTAGTGTCAGAGAGCAGCACTTGGCTGAACTTCTCATGGGCATCTACTTGCTCTTCAACAAGAGGAAGGTCCCATCCGAGAGCCCCCTCTGCCCTGCAGCTGCATTGTCTCCGGGAAACCTCATCCCGTTATCCCCTGGTTTGAGGTGGGGGGAAAGCTGTGCACTAAACGATAGAGCTCCTAAACAAAAACTAAAGCAAACCGAAAGCCAGACTGCAAACCTGAATGACAACGGAACCAAGAGCCAGTACTAAATAAAACACTACCCCCCAGAGAGAATTCCTCTAGCTCAAGAAATCTTCTCACTCGCGAAAAGCAGACATGCCGTGAACGAAAAGAACATTAAGCGATTGCTGATTTCGAGGTTATCGAAGGGAGGGAGCCCAACAGAGATACACCTGCCTTGCACCGACAGCGCTTCCGAAGTTGCCCAAAGTTTGCCCGCAGCTGAGCCTGTCACCCCGAGAACCGGGGAAGCGCGGACTCAGCGGGGCCAGCCCGCCCCGGGCCGGAGCGCGCACTCACCGGGGAGAGGAGCCAGCCGAGCAGCGGCACCACGACGCCCAGGACAGGGGGCTCCATACTGGCCACGCCGGGCCGTGGGGTACCGCGCTCCGGTAGCTCCCAGCGCTGCAGCCAGCGCTGCGCTGCGCTCCCGGCACCGGGCTGCGCGCATCCAGCGAGGGAGGAGGAGGAGGAGGAAAAGGAAGGAGGGAGAAAAAGAGGGAGGTAACACCACAAACCCCCGCGCCCCTCCGCACCACTCCACCGCCTCTCTGCGCGGGGCGGGGCTGCACCGCCTACTGCCACCCCTCCCGCCCCAGGTGCCGCCGGGCCCTCGGGCAAACGGCGCTTCCCGGCCGTTTCTCTCTCCTCCTCCCCGCCCTCTTCTGTCTTTTTTGCTTCCTCTCTGTCTTTTTTGCTCCCTCTCCTTTCCCCCTTTATTAATTTTCCCCTTCGTTTGACTTTTGTCGATTTTCTTCCCTCTTCCCATTTTTCCTTCTTTCCCTTCTTTTATCCTTTTTCTTTCCTCTTTCTCTTTTCCCTTTCTTCTCCTTTCTCCCATTCACTTCTATCTCCCATGTTTCCTTTTCACTATCTTCCCCTTTTCTCTCTCTTCTTTTTGTTTTGTTTCCTTGTTTCCATTCTTTTCCTTTTTCTCTTCTATCACCTTTTTGTTTTTTATTTCCCTTTTTCCCCCATTTTCCCTTCTCCCACTTTTTATATCTCTTCACCCTTTCCCTCCCTTTTCTGCTTCCCTATTTTTTTATTTTTCTCCTTCCTTCCTCCTTCTCTTTCCTTGCCTTTTTACTTCCTTTGTAAATTTATCACATTTTCACTTTTTTAAAATCATTATTTTTAACTTCATAAAGCACTGGAATGGGTTGAGGAAAAACCAAGGCTGAGGAAATCATCAAAGCTCAATTTTTCCTTTTTCCCTCCAAGCTGATGCAGTCACTGTGGGATTCGTCCAGCTGCACAGAGAGAACCTTGCAGATCCACAGCTTGCAGTGCAAAGCCATCTCATCTCTTTGCAGAGTTTGGATACTCCTTACTGGGTTCATCCCTGAGAGATGCTGAGATGGGTAGGGGGAAATGGTCTTGTTAGTGGGGGTGGGGGGTAGAGGCACAGAAGAAGGCTCAGTATTGCCATGAGTTCTACAAGTGTGTTGAGTTGTTCTGGGAAAGGAAATGAAATGGTTGCTTGGGGTGTTTGGCTTCCTGTGAAATACCTGCTCGGTTACAAGGGGCTTAGGTGGACAAAAGTTTGCAAATTCCAACCCAGTTCAGTGAATCTGTGTGTCCTTTCTCTGTCCTTCCCCCCGGAAAAAGAGAGAAAAGTTCCAAAATGCAGGTCAGTGACATGACATTTCTGGGGTTTCTCATTTTGGAGGAACAGCTCAAGACCGGATCAACCTTATTTTTTGATGCAAATGTGGAAATCCCTCCCTTGCCGCATGAGATGAAGCATTTCATTTAAAATTAAGTGCAATGCTCTTTTAAACTCAAGAGAAACCACAAGCATAAACTTGCTTTAGGGTGAAAACCAAAACAAGTCTCATGAAGAAATTTAACAGTAAGAAACGTTGTATCTTTCTTGCTGTCCTTTTATCCCCAGTCCTGCTGGATTTTTAAGCTCCAACAGATGGACAGATTTAGTGTCTTTTAAACCACCTGCTGAAGAGAGAAAATAAATCCTCATATTTGGGAGGCCCTGGAGACAGCTCCCTGATTCCAGGCTGTTCAACTTACTGATACAGTCAGGAAAGCTGCTATTTTTAGAGAAAGGGCTTGAGGGTTAAAATCCTAAAGTTGTATCCAGTCTCTACCTCTTGTTAAAAAATCACTAAACATTTCACTCTTTAAAGTTAACGTGCAAAGCGTGAGAAAAAAGAGTTTAGTATCTTCCCCCCTTGACCCTTTTCAGAAAGACCTGTGCTTTTCTGACTTTTTTTTTTTCCTTTGCATTTTAGATGAAAAATTCTAGTTCTCTTGTTTCTCATTGTAGGCCTGATGGTGGCTTATAATTGCCAGTGTAAAAAGAGGGACAAAATGCTAATTACATCAATTAGTTGTACAACAATTTGAATAGGCAACAAAGCTATATAAAGCTCAGTTTGGATCATAAAATGAAAGGGGAACGACCGATTAGCTGGTCACTGCATCTTGCTTCTAATAATAGCCACTTTGTGTTTGCTTATTTCATTTATTCATGCAGCCTGAAGGCTTTCAAGTAGCCTGTTAAAGACAGATTTCCCTCTGGGGGAGAGGCGAAGGTATTGGCAGATGTTGCTCTTTAGATTCTTTGCAGAGAGTGTATCTGAAGGTTTTGTGTCTCATCACAGTGATTTTACAACGAAGGTCTCAGCCTGAATGGTACATTTTGCCCTGTGGATTGCACTGGATGGAGGTTAAGCTAGTCTGATATCTTGTAGGCATAGCGTGAGCTCCAGGGGGCTGGTAGCAGCCTTTGTGTTTGATTTGAAACCACCTCCTGTTCATTTCATCCCATTCCCCCAGATCTTATGCTGTCAGTACCACTGAACACTCATTATCTTCTTCATGTGGCTAGAGACTTTGTATCAGTCCTTGTTTTGCAAGCTGAAAGCCTGGAGTGTGTCCCATACCTTTGGCATCATTTTCACCCTCTTCTGTACCTGTTCTTTCCCCATTTATCCTCTTTGGGACAAGGACAGGAGCCAGAACAATTCAAAATGTTGGTGCACTGTTGTTTTATGAAGTGGCATAGTGATGGTCATGGTTTAAACCTTTGTTTTTCTTGCCTTGAGTGCAGGAGCGTTCCTGTTGGAGCAAGTCTAGATGATGCCATGGAAATGCTCCGAGGGCTGGACCACCTCTGCTATGGAGACAGGCTGAGAAAGCTGGGCTTGTCCAGCCTGGAGAAGAGAAGGCTCCAGGAAAACCTTAGAGCAGTTTCCAGTGCCTAAAGGGGCTGACAGGAAAGCTGGAGAGGGGCTTTTTGCAAGGACAGGAAGTAACAGGACAAGGGCCGTCTGGTCTAGTAGAAGGTGTCCTTGCACATGGCAGGGGGATTGGAACTAGATGGTCTTTAAGGTCTCTTTCAACCAAAACCATTCTATGATTCTATTATTAGGTGACTTAGTGGTGCATTGTAATACCAAGATGTTTCTCCCCCAAAGGATGGTTCTGTTTTGAGCCCACCTCTGTGTAAATCCATTAGATGCACTGTGGGACATTTTGCTCATTTGCTTCACTTTCCATTAAATACATTGAAGTTCAACTTCTGTTTCACTGTCCTGCTGATAGGTTGGTATTTGCCCCAATTTCTTTCTGTTCAAAATATCTCTGTGAAAGGTTTTACAAGGCTTCAGAAATGTGACATGAGTTTGGAAGTAGCTGCTTGGTGTTGAACAGGATCTCTGCTAATAGACTGATGCAGCCAACTAGAAGGCCAGAATTTTTCCTTATCTCAGTCATGAAAAATTCCAAAAAGCCTTGATCTAATTCCTTGTCACATCACTAGTAGCATAGTTACTTCAGTGATCACTGTCTTGTGCTAGTGCATCTTCTCTGTGGCTATCTTATGTTGTTACCATTATTTAACCCTTTTCCTTAATAATTAACATCTGAGCTGAAGCATCCATCATTAAATGGCTTATCTTTCTGGGAATTGCTTTGGAAAATACCAAATGAATGTAAGAATATTTTTCTGGAGGGTAACAGTAGAGGTAAATAAAAGCAAGTAGGTTTTTTCCTGTCTGTGTTTTTTAACTCTCTGTCACAGCAATCAGAAATACAAGAAGTATTAACAGTAGTGTCTAGAAGGACAATATTTGCGAGTTGATTCATGCAGCAGTTTGCTGAAGGCTGGGTTTGCTGTTATGTGCCCTTGGGGTTATGTTCCTCATTTAGCTTTCTCTGGAAACCCAACACAGTACATCTATTCTGCTTTCTGCTTTGTAACTTTATTTAAATAAAGTAATGGCATCACATTCCATAAACAAACTGTGAAATGTATTTCTATGTATTATTTGCATTGGGATTAGTGTTAACAAAACAGTCACTGTGTTGTTTTCCAAACAAGACAATTAAATCCCTGTACAGGACTTCATTGTTTGCAAAATGCAATGTAAACAGTTGGTGGTTTCCTGTGTTTTAAGTCTCCTTACTCAGGGTAGTGTGAGCTTGTGTGCAGATACTAGTGTGGCCCTAGGAGAAGCCTAAACCAAATTGACCACCATCCAGAAGAGCTAAAATCTCTTCTGTCCCCAACCATCCCCAACAGTTACACAGTGGAAAAATTCCAGAAATTTCCATCTGCCCATATCCTCATAAAGCTGAAAGAGCAGCAGAGGTGGGTACATCAGAGCAGAATGTAGAACATCTGAACAGAATGTTTCAATTAAAAGGATCTGCTCGATACAAGCAGTCTAGAATCTTGTCCTTGGTCTCTAGGGCAAGGGCAAATTGTCCAGCTCCTGTTGCTCACCTCAGTCTATAAGCTAAAGATAGTAATGATTACCTACCAAACTCCCAGGAGAGTTAAGGATTAATAGCTTCATAGTACTCAACATTTATTTTCACATAATCAATGCCACTGGGTGCATAAAAATAAGCTTTGCAATTACTATTACATATCCACAAGGGACCATTCACTCATGAAGTACTTGGATGAAACAGTTTTCTTACAAGTAATTATTAAAAAACTAATCTTATTTATGTTTGGGCTGTAAAAAGAGAAACTCTTTGGTCTCGGGAAGAACAAATGCAAGCAAGCAAACAAACCAGCAAGAACTTTCTCTGAACTCAAGATGGCAGTGTGCTGGAACTAGACTGAAGGTGAATAGAAAACCATGCATTATTAAAACAGCGCTATTTACACTGGGAACATTGTAAAACCACTCCAAGGTACATGACGTGCTAAAGATAGAGGAAACTGGGTGCCTGCCTCTCCCTACTTTCTCCTTAGAGCTTTGCAGAGCAAAGGAAGACAGAGGAAGCAGTAATGACAGTGTTATGTGTATGGAAAGCTGATGAGCAGAGTATTTGGCATCATTACAACCATATTTCTTAAGACAAACTGTGTCCATTGGAGGTAGGTTTCCTCCAAGGCTGTGGCCATCATGAAGAAACATCTGGCCCTCATGAAGAAGAGTCTGGCAGCAGAAACCACATAGAGCAGGGCAACCAACTTGTTGATTGACACCAGAGATTATACAAGCTAAAAGGTTGAGGTAAAACATGGCACTCTGGAGACTAAGATAAAGGCTCCACCTTATCATT